CCCCAGGGGGGATGGCCACTCCACAATTCCTTCTCCTCCATTCTCCTCTCGGGATCTTGGGCACGCATGCACACACACCTGGCGTGAGTTTAAGCCACCGGGTCCAGGACTCGAACCGTGGTTGACTACATGGGAGTTCAGAGACATAGCCATTACGCTAACTGCTGGTCCCATACAATTTTAGTTTTTCGTATTTTTATATACTATTTGAGTTACATGTTTATTTAAGTACAGTGACATAGCTCACTGGGGAGTTTAGGTTTAGACATTGCCTGTGTCTTTTAATTTTCATAATCTTATTATTGAAGTATGACTGGATGGTAGAGGAGTTTTTGAAATAACATGCTTTAAGTGCTATAAACGTATGTTTGGTTTCATATATTTCTGTCGACCTTTTCTTAGAAACAAATGCATCCTAATTTTATTTTATTAATATTACTTATTTTGTTTATTTCTGCTTTATTTTCAGAACTGAAGGCAGAAGCCAGTTTAATGGATCAGATGAGTAGTTGTGAGAGTTCCTCAGATTCCAAAAGTTCATCATCTTCAAGTAGCGAGGATAGTTCTAGTGACTCAGAAGATGAAGAGTGCAGATCCTCTCCTGATTCAGGGAATTATACCTCTGGACATCCTACCATCTCTGCCATGCCACAGTGCAGGAGTCCTGAGATAGATCCCAGTCCTAATAGATTTCATGACAACAGTGGCCTTCTTATGAATACTCTACGTAAGTATACATAAACATGAGTAACTTGAAAAGAATTGCCAGTGAAGCCATACTGATATGATCTAAAATCTGAGTAAAGAAAAAGACTACTTTTTTACGTATTTGACACTATTAACCATTACCCTTGTTGAATTATTCATATTCTTTTGACTCTGTGACATAAGAGCTTTTTAGTTTTTCTCCTGTCTGTAGAAACTCTCCTCTCTCTTTTGCTCCTCAGTCATTAGAGTTGGAGTTCCTCGAGGCTTACACCTGGGTCCTTCTTTCTTTTCTTTTCCTTTTATTTATTGTTGATGGCCATCTTCTAGGGTTTCTGATTCAGTGAATATGGATAGAAACTTAACATTTACATTTCTTTTATTTTTAGAGAGATTTTTGCTATAGGGTACGTGTGCTCTCCAGAGAAACAGAGACAGAAAGCGAGAAATCACCCCCCAGGGAGGATAGGCACACTGTAATCTCTTCTGCCCCATTCTTTTGGGCACACATGCACACGAACATGGCGTGAGTTTTAAGCAGCCAGGTCTGGGACTCAAACCGTGGTCAACTACCTAGGAATCCTGCAATGTAATCATTACACTATCTGCTGGTTCCACATTTCTTTTTTTTTTTTTAATTTTTATAGATTGATCAATTGATTGATTGAAATTGTGATTTCTGGTTTACACATGATTGTTGTACGTACATCTGTGTGGGGTACATTATGTTTTTCAAAGCATGTATACTATGTGTAATAAACAAGCAAGAGTATAGACATATCTTATATGACATTGAACATTACATTATGTTGTACATATTTGATAAAATCAGGTCATTGGAAAAGTCATGACATATTTTTCTGTGCAAAAATGAATCATGACTTTACCAATTACCCAATAGTTCTATTAGTTTTGTTCTGTTTTTAGAAGTATATAGTGAGTTGTCAGTGACTTTTTTTTTTATTCTGCAGTAATATAATTTTCTATAACCTACTTCATTTGCTTACATTCTTCTGTTAATCATTTTCTTCCCTGCACTCCCTCTTCCCCACCACTCCCCCCATGCACTTTCTGGTATCTACCATCACTCTTTGAAGTGTTATGCCATTGAGCCCTTTATTCTGTAGTATTTTCATAGGTAATCTACTCCGTTTTTCCATTGCAATCAATATTAAGCATAGGTAACTTGCAAATTTACATCTCTGACCCATTCTTCTAAGCTCTAGAAATGTAATGCCCAGCATCATCTCCTGGTTAAAGGTACTTCATATTCACTCTGTCCAAAACCAGCTCATGGTCTTTGACTCACCATGTTTTTTTCTTAGTGAAAGGCAGCGTTCTTCTAATTGTGGAAACCTGATTGCATTTAAGGATTGAGTTTCTCTCCCACTTTACGGTGTAGCCAGTCCTTCACTAAGTCCTGTTGATTTTTCCCTTAAAATATTTCTAAATTCACGGGAACCAGCAGTTAGCGTAATGGCTATGTCGCTAGACTACCACATAGTTAACCACGGTTCGCGTCCCGGACCCGGTGGCTTAGAACTCACGCCGGGCACGTGTGCGTGCATGCCCAAGATCCCGAGAGGAGAATGGAGGAGAAGGGATTGCAGCATGGCCATCCCCCCTGGGGGGGTGATTTCTCGCTTTCTGTCTCTCTGTGTCTCTCTGCCTGTCTGGCGAGCGCATGCACCCTATAGCGAAAACCTCTCAAAAAAAATTTTTTTTCCAAGTTCGTCTAGTTCTCTGCATGTCCATGATCACTCTTGTTTAACTTACCATTACCTCTTCTTTTAACTACCACAATGACTTCCTAACTGATTCACCTTTCACTTGTTCAAACCCATTTTAGATCCAGTATGTAAATTTCAGCCATTTGACAATTCAGATTCTTTTCACAATTCAGATACTATTTCTTGCTCCTCTTGCTTCAAACTTTCCAGTAGCTCTTCTGCCAAACTACTCATATACTTTTACTCACTTTAGGGCCCTGATACATGCTGTCCATTCAATTGGAAACACTTTTTTTCACATAGTTAAATTTTTCTCCTTTATATTACAGTTCAGAGTTTACTTTCTCAGGAAAACTGACCAAGTCATATCCTCCTTTTTATAATGCTCAGACTATCCAATTTGTCTTCTTTACATCAATTGTGACAGTGGTAAATTTGCTTTTATTTGTGTGATTTGCTCTCTTCCACAGAGTATAAGCTCTATAAGGACAGGGATCTTGTTTGCTTTTCCTTATCAGAATGCTAGCACCTTGCACAGTACCTGATATATAGTGATGTTCACTAAATACTTATTAATAATGGCATTAGGGGACCAGCAGTTAGCGTAATGGCTATGTCGCTGGATTCCCATGTAGTTGACTGCGGTTTGAGTCCTGGACCTGGTGGCTTAAACTCACACTGGGCGTGTGTGTGTGTGTGCTCAGGATCCTAAGTGGAGAATGGAGGAGAAGGGATTGTGGTGTGGCCATCCCGCCTGGGAAGGTGATTTCTCGCTTTCTGTCTCTCTCTCTTTCTCGCAAGCACATGTGCCCTATTCTCAAACAAAACAAAACAAAACAAAACAAAATCCCTCTGTGCCAAACTGAGTAACAGTGGATAAAGTATAAAATATAAAAACTAGATATAGGCCCAGCCTCTGTAACGCTGTGTAGTGTACCAAGCTGTGGCACTGGAAACCACGTTGTGACCATACTTTGAGTCCCTGGCCAGGTTGAACTGAAAGCATGCCAGGTATGCGTGTAGAGGCGCAGGACCCTGGCAGCCTGGGAGACTTGATGAAGGGGATTGTGCATGACCAACCCTTGTGGTGGGTGTTTCTCTCTCTGTCTCTCACACATGCATGTGCATGCACTTTATCGCAAATTAAAAAAAAAATTAACTAGGTATAACCAGCATCAAATATAAGATAAATATCTCCATAAACAAGGACTGGAGCACAAATACAAAACTGGGCTTATTTTAGGACTGTGAAGGCATTAGCTATGAGTTCAAAAGGATCTGGTAGTGGTAAAGAGCTTGGTTCCTTCAGGGAAAGTAACTTAAAAGTGTTTGATTTGATTCAGGAAACCTGGGTCATGCTTTGTATTGGAATCCAGAGAACATATTGGGGAGAGAATGGGGGATGGAGAGAGCGAGTAGATGTGGGAATACTCCACAGTTAGTGAAAGAAGACTAGAAAAAATGATCCTTACATACGGACTGAGGCTGATGAATTTTAGAAGCTGTAAACAAAGAGGTCTGCTGAGCCTTGCTATCTGTTGAGTCTTTGAAGGGATCTGCCTTATCATCAATATATCCAGGGAATAGTAATTGCCAAATATTATTATGAAACCTATTTCTGACTATGGGGCTCAGAGGAATAGGTGGAGGGAACCACAAAACCATATTAAAGTCCTGTGAGGGAGAGAAAACAATCTATCCACTCAAAATGAGCAAAAATGATTCCAAAACATAAGAAAAAAGTCTATTGTTAAGAATGTCATCTGACAGAATTAACTCTTAGATAAGGGATTCTTTCCCATTGAGAATCTTTTTTAAAAAGAACTTATTGCATGAGTAAGAGAGTCAGAGATACGGCACCCTCAGAAGGGTCTTGGTGCCACAGTCACTTGCAGCCTCAGCCAACCTGGACCATGGATACGCGCATGCCCAGTGTACTCAGGGAGCTCTCCAGATGTGAACCAGGAAATTTCCCATGGTATCTGCCTCACAGAGTGTCACATTTTACCACTGTGCCACCAGCAGGCCTCTCCAAATAAAAATGTTTTTATAGTACAGTTTAAGACAAAGACATTTGAAAAAGTATGCTAAAGGTATTTAAAGAGGTAACCGAAGACAAATTTCAAAATAAAGCTAAGCAGAAATGAAATAAAATCTAAAAAGTTAATTAAAAGAACCTACTAAAAACCCTGTTCATTGAAATTTTTTCAAAATCATTAAATGGAAAAACTATAGGAGACCAGCGGGTGACGTGGGGGTTAAAGCACTGGACACTCCCACATGACTGACCACAGTTCAAGTCCTGGACCTGGTGGCTTGCTTTCTCACTTTCTCTCTTTCTGTGTCTCTTTCTGGTCAAATTAAAATAAATGAATGAATAAATAAAATTCAATTAATTCTTTTTTTAAAATGGGCAAAACTGTGGACTGCACACATTTAACAGATGAGTGAAATGGAAGATAATGCTGAGGAGCTATCCTACAGTGTAACGTAAGACAAATAGGAAAAGAAAATGAGTGAGGAACGTAGAGATAAAAAGAGATAGAGAAGATTAAACATTGTACAGTGAGTAGTAAGTATTCCAGGAAATGGCAGGTGATATAAGAGAACAATTCTGACAGTTTTCCAGAATTAAAGACCACTGTGAATCTACTCCAGCTAATAATATTAGCAGGATTAGTAAAAGTAAATCTAGACCTCAACATATAATAGTGAAACTTCATGACATCAAAGATGAAATGACAACCTTAAAAACTAAAGTAGGCAGAATATTTACAAAGAAAAAAGAGACTGATAGCAGACGCTCCTTAGCTAAATGGATAGGCTAAAGACAGTGGGCAAAATATTTTTACAGTGTCAAAAAATAATTATAGCTAGAATTTTGTTTTTTAAAAAAATTTTTTGCTATAGGGCGTATGTGCTCACCAGAGAGACAGAAAGTGAGAAATCACCTCCCAGGGGGGATGGCCACACCAAAATTCCTTCTTCATTCTCCTCTCGGGATTTTGGGCATGCATGCATACACGCCCAGCATGAGTTTTATGTTCCCAGGTCTGGGACTCAAACCACAGCTAATTACATGGGAGTTCAGCAACATAATCATTATGCCATCTGCTGGTCCCAATTCTATTCCAACTAGAATTTTATACCAACCACAGTGTCACTCAAAGGTAAAGTAATTTTTAGGCACACAAAAACAAAGGATTTACTCTCTATAGAATATGACAAGTGTACTATTAAAGGATGTACTTCAGCGGGAAGAAGTGAAAACAAGGAATGTACGGGATATAAGAAATAATAGTGAGCAAAACATATTAAAATGTCAGAAAATTTGATTCACCTTTGACTATAAAGATAACAGGCTGTGGAACCAGCAGTTAGTGTAATGGCTATGTCGCTGGACTCTCATGTAGTCGACCACGGTTCAAGTCCCGGATCTGGCGGCTTAAACTCACTCTGGGTGCGTGTGCGTGCGTGCCCAAGATCCCAAGAGGAGAATGGAGGAGAAGGGATTGAGGCGTGGCCATCCCCCCTGGGGGGTAATTTCTCGCTTTCTATCTCTCTGTCTGTCTTTCTGTCAACTGCACGCGCCCTATAGTGAAAACCTCTCCAACCAAGAAAGAAAGATAACAGGCTGTTTTAAAGAAATTTTTAAAAAAGATTAAAGCTTGAATTCTAAGCAGCAATGGGGCCAGCAGGTAGAGATTAAGGAGCTGGATCCCACATGGCTGACGTTGCAATTTGAGTCTCAAACCTGGAGGCTTATAAATCATTTTGAGTGCATGTGTGCCCAAAAATCCCCACAGAAGAAAGGACAGTGGCATGGCCTTCCCTTCCAGAGGGTGATTTCTCACTTTCCCTCTCTGTCTCTCTTCACAAGTGCATAAACGCTATGTCTCTCTCCAGTGAGTCTATACACCCTGCAGCAAACATACATACATACCTACTTACATAAATAAAAATAAAAAGGTGGCTGGATCCTACATAGGTCACTGTGTGGTGCAAGTCCTAGACCCAGTGGCTTGAAAAACATACCAGATTCATGTTGTACATGCCCCAAATCCCAAGTGAATAAAGAAGAGACTGCAGCATGGTCATCCACTCTGGGGGCATGCTTTCTCATTTTCTCTCTCCCCCTCTGGCAAGCATATATGCCCTCTAGCAAAAAAATAAAATAAAAATAGACACTGATAAACAGAAAACAGTAAATGTAAAGTAGGAAAATGTCCCAATATATCAGTGATGATAAATGCAAAAGGATCAAATCTGCCTACTTAAAAACAGATTATCATATTGGCTTTGTTTAAACCTCTATGCTGATTATAATACACATGCCTAAAATAAAACATGGAATAACTGCTGTATCCCATGGGAAAAAGAAAGTTGGAAAATAAAGGGATTGAAAAAAGAGAAGATGGGTAAATATTAAACAAAAAGCTAGGCTACCAATATTAGAAATAATAGACTTTAAGGCAAAATGCACTTCTAGAGGTAAATAGGGTTCAATAGAGATAAATATTGAGAGAGGGTTCAGTTCACAGGGAGCTAAGCTACCAATTTCAATACAAATCATGTGTGTGTGTGTGTGTGTGTGTGTGTGTGTGTGTGTGTGTAAATATATAAGAGGGCCTTTGAAAGTTTATGGGAAATGCATTATTATGTTTGGATTTCAAATTATTTTGTATCAAGATAAACTCATACTTTTAATTCAATTTTCACGAACTTAAGATAAACTCATACTTTTAATTCAATTTTCATGAACTTTTTGGTCTTCTGTGTGTGTGTGTGTGTGTGTTTGTATAAAACAATAAAAGTAGGAGAAATTGAATTGTCCCTATCATAGCCACAGATTTAATGCGTCTGTAATCAAGTACAAAGAATGAGTGAGGGCTCCAAGTACATGGGCACGCATGCCCAAAATCCCAAAAGGAGAAGGGATTGTGGTGTGCCATCCCCGTTAGGGGGTGATTTCTCACTTTGTCTCTCTCTCTGTTTCTCCAGCAAGTGCATATGCTGTCTAGCAAAAAATGTCTCAAGAAAACTTTAGTGACGGTGTAGAATCCTTGACTACATAATTAGCATGCCCATTCTGTTAGTAAATATTAATACATAGAAAGCAAGCGTTCTTTTTTTTTTTTAATTTTGCCAGAGGACATGTGCACTCATCAGAGAGAAAGAGAGAGAGAAAGTGAGAAAGCATTGCCTGTGGGATTGCTGCTGTAGTGCCTTTTCCATCTCTCCCTCTTTTTGGGATTTTGGGCAGGAACATACATGCACCTTGCATGTGCTTGAAGCTGCTGGGTCTAGGACTCAAACCACTCAGTCAGCTATGTGGCATCCAGTTTGTCTTAACCCCACACCAGAGGCTGACTCCAAAACAAGCATTTTTAAAGATATACGTGAAACATTTATAGAAATTTATCCCCACCTCAGCCTTGGGATAAAGATCACTAATCACACATCATTATAACAGATTATAATAACAGTGAAAAAGTTTGAAATTTGGGAGAATGACCAAAATTGATAGAGACATTAAGTGAACATATGCTGTCGGAAAAATGGAGTCAATAGAGTTGCTCAGTGGAGAGTTGCCGCAAACTTTCAATTTATTCAAAACAAAAGCAAAAACTCTGCAAAGTGCCATAAAGAGAAGTGCAGTAAAACAAAGTATGCTTGTATAAAATTTTTTTCACTCTCCTGTATGATAGCATCTGACCTTCTACACCACACTTTCTCTCTCAGTGGTGTAAAAAGAAAGGCGGATTTTTATGTGGAAGAAGACTAAAATAGATGCCAGGTGATTCTGAAACCAGGCTGAAGTTTGCTGGTGTGTATTTTTTCCCAAGCTCTATTATTTCAGTTACTAGTTATGTGACTGAATTACAAGATAAGCAATCTGATTATTACAAAATGTGGGCCAGCTGCTGGCACGGGTAATGCGGGGCTCTGTGACATAGGGCTTACATGGGAATGTCTCTGGTTTGCATCCTGAGGCCTCCCATACCAACCAGGCATGAGTGCACAGGCTTATGATTGGGGCTCATGGGCTGAGGGTCTTCACAGCATGAAGACCCTGTTGGGGGTGTCCCTGTCTCTCTGTTTCTCTCTCTCTTTCTCTCTCTCTCTCCCCCCCCACCTTGCTTTCTGTCTGTCTCATGGAAGAAATAAACTTGAAAAAAAAATGACAAAATGCTAACAAAACCTGTCATGTTATATTTTACATAATATTTATGTAATACAGATATTTCTTAAATATTAATATATTAAATATTTAATTACTACAGCTTTCTTTCTTTTTTTATTTTAGGAAATGATTTGCAACTGAGTGACTCAGGAAGTGACAGTGATGACTGAAGAAATATTTATAAAATGAAATTTCCAAGGCATGGGATAATTTATTTTGTGTAAAAATAAAAAATTCCTAAGTGTGAAGAAATTGTATCTTAACTTTTTATGATAATAGAAATTAAATTTGATTCAGAATTTCCAGTTGATGTTATATTTTTAATATGACAAATATTGGAAGAATATTTTTAATTTTGTAATCAAATACCAGAATCTTTATGTGCTATCTGTGTTTAATAGTAACAACATCTTTATAAAGTTTGATAAGTGGGAAAACAGACTGAGAGGTTAGGTAACTTGTCCAACTACTGTTAATGAACAGGTAGCAGATCAGGCATTCTGGGGTCTAAGTTCAGGGCTCTTTTTTACTGTACTGCTATCTCTAATTGTGAAATATCAAAACTATAGATTTATAATAAATTTCCATGGTTTTAATTATATCTTTGAGACTTCTGGTATTCCTTAAATTATGATAGAAAATACTTTAATTCTTGACAAAATTAAGCTATTGTTTAGGGTAAAGGTGAAGAAAAGTAATTATTTTAATGAAATAAATCCTCTGTTATGTCTTACAGTTTTGTTTTTTGTTTTTTTTTTAATATTTCCAGAGAGCACATGTGCTAGCTGGAGACAGAGGAAAAGTGAGAAAGCACTGGGGAATGTTCATGCCATAATTCCTTCTTTTCCATTTCTCCCTTCTTTTAGGATTTTGGGAATGCGCATGTGCCTGACATGTTTCTCAAGCCTTCAGATCCAGGACTCGAATCATACTGTCAGCCATAAGGGATCTAGCTGCCTTAAGTACCATACCACAGGCTGACCCTTTTACAATATATATATATATTTTTTTTTTTTTTGGAGAGGTTTTTGCTATAGGGCGTGTGCGCTCGCCAGACAGAGAGAGACAGAGAGCCAGAAAGCAAGAAATCACCCCCTAGGGGGGATGGCCATGCTGCAATCCCTTCTCCTCCGTTCTCCTCTCGGGATCTTGGGCACGCACGCACACGCACCTGGCGTGAGTTTTAAGCCACCAGGTCCGGAATGCGAACCACGGTCGACTATGTGGGAGTCCAGCAACATAGCCATTATGCTAACTGCTGGTCCCGTTCTTACAATATTTTTCATCAATTTATTGGGTTGTTAGAAAAGTCATAATGTATTTTTCTATGTTTTTCTGTGCTAAATGAATCATGACTTTTCCAACAAGCTAGTATTTCACTTTTTTTTTTTGAGAGAGATTTTTACTGTAGGGCACGTGCACTCGCCAGACAGACAGAGAGAGACATAGAGACAGAAAGCGAGAAATCACCCCCCAGGGGGGATGGTCACGCCGCAATCCCTTCTCCTCCATTCTCCTCTCAGGATCTTGGGCACACACACACACGCACCCGGCATGAGTTTTAAGCCACCGGGTCCGGGACATGAACCGTGGTCGACTATGTGGGAGTCCAGCAACATAGCCATTACGCTAACTGCTGGTTCCCGCCAGTATTTCACTTTTGAGAGAAAAGCAATCATTTAGCTGTTAAGGAGATAGTTAGTGCTTATGTTTATAATATCTTTGAATTTGGGGGAAATGATAAACACTAGATTATAGTTGACACTGACCAACAAGTTTTCTTTTTCTTTTCTTTTAATTTTTTTAAATAAACTTGATCTTTCAGAACAGATTTAGGTTCTCAGCAAAATGGAGCAGAAAGAACAGAGGGTTCCTGTGTCCTCTTCTCCCACTAGCAGCCTCCCACACCGGAGTGGTATATTTATTAATAATCAATGACCTACTTGACATGTTGTTCATAGTTCACATTAGGATTCACTCTTGATTTTGTACATTCTGTGGATTTTGACAAATGACATGCATCTGTCATCGTACTAACATACAGAATAGTTTTATTGCCCTAAACACCCTCTCTGCTCTGCCTGTTTATTCTTCTCTCTCCTCTAACCCCTGGCAGCTAATCTTTTTACTGTCTCCAGTTTGCCTTTTCCAGAATGTCATGTAGTTGCAATCATATGTAGCCTTTTCAGATTTGCTTCTTCCATTTAAGAATAGGTATTTAAGGGAACCAGCAGTTAGTGTAATGGCTATGTCGCTGGACTCCCACATAGTCGACCGCGGTTTGCGTCCCGGACCTGATGGCTTAAAACTCACGCCGGGCATGTGTGCATGCGTGCCCAAGATCCCGAGAGGAGAATGGAGGAGAAGGGATTGCAGCGTGACCATACCCCCTGGGGGGTGATTTCTCGCTTTCTGTCTCTATGTCTCTGTCTGTCTGGCGAGCGCACGCGCCCTATAGCGAAAAACCTCTCCAAAAAAAAAGAATAGTTATTTAAGTTTCCTCCATGTCTTTTATGACTTGACAGCCCATTTCTATTTAAGAGTGAGTAATATGTAGTCGACTGAGGTTTGAGTCCTGGACCCGGTGGCTTAAACTCACGCTGAGCATGTGCACGCCCAAGATCCCGAGAGAAAAATGGAGGAGAAGGAATTGTGGTGTGGCCATCCCCGCTGGGAGGTGATTTCTTGCTTTCTGTCTCTCTGTCTGTCTCTGTCTTTCTGGAGAGCATAAGTGCCCTGTAGCAAAAAGAGAAAAGAAAGAAAGAAAGATCCTTAAGTTTTGGTTTTAATGTCTCCTACTTTCATTCTCACTTTTTCCTTTCTGTAGCCTATCTTCATTAGTGTCTTCATTTTTCACTTTTATTCATCAGTACTTAGCTGGTAACTGTGTCATTTATTACTTAACTACATACAGCAAGCTCACAGATTCAAAGTAGCTAGCAAAACATGTTTATCATTTTAATATCATAATACAGATTGGATTGGTTTTCAATGAAAGTTGTTATCCTGAGATTTCTTCTGTAAGTGTTAACTCTACTAGAAATGAGTATATGGTGATATGAGCTGCCAATGCTGGCTCCATAACATGCATTGTATTTTCAAACTTGACTTGTCATCCAAACAGTTCATCTTTATCCTTCATTATTTCCCCTATATATGAAACATTCATAAAGACCATTTTTATGAACAGTATACCTAGTATATCATTCTCTATATCCCACAAGAGTATAGATATGTAGCTTAGAGAGGAATGGAATAATTTCTCTTGTGATACTTATATCCTTATTTGCTGTGTTTTGAGACACTAAAGTGTAGGGAGCTTGCAGATTAGACGAGTTCTCAAATATGATATTCTCTGCTAGAACCATTTGATGATCCAGACATGATTCATATCCTTTCAGTTTGACCTACTTTAAATGGCTCAATTAAATTGATGATACTATACACATGCAAGAAAATAAGTTGACTGCAAAGGCCTTTGAACTCGTACACAACACTAAAACTCTAACGCCAATAAAGCTACATTTGCACAGACATATGAATGTGACCTATGGGTTATGTATTCATCAGATGTCATCCATAGTTTGGTAAAAAGACGTTCTTAGACATGTCAGAATTCAGAAATTATTCATATACCATTCCTATAATTTAATTTCCAACTTAATAAGAGGTAAATCAAAATTAAATAATGAGCTCGGCCATGGTGACACATGCTGTGAAGACACTACTACCAGGAGGCTGAGGCCACGTGAGAGGGTCAGGTTTGGTTTCTGGCCCAACCTAAACAGGCTAGATGCGGTGGTGCATGCCTGTAGTCCTGTCTATCAATAGCTAGGAGGCTGGAGCAGGAGTAGCCTGATAGTGAAATCTTGTAAAAAATGCATCCTCTTTCTCTCTTTCTAAAGAAGGAAGGAAAGAAAGGAGAGAGGAAAGAAGGAAAACATTATTATTAAAAATGTATTGTGAAAAGGTTGATAACTATCTGGTATTTTGGAGGCTTGCAACTTCTCTGTCACCTGGAGGAAGATAACTCAATTTAAAACTCTCATGCTTAGGTGAGAGTGTGCTGGTCAGAGGGGGAATGCCAAGAACTTACTCATACTAGCTTCAGATTTCGGTCCTAGTTGAAGCTGCCATATTTAGACAGGCTGAGTACATGTGCACCAGAGACAAATGTCTCAAAGCCTTTACATACTCCTGACCAACCGTGAAATTTCATGTAGGTGCACAGGATGCTCAAAAGGACTCGATGAAAAGTAAAAATTGGGAAGACTGGAAACAGCCTGTTTTCAGTGCATTCCCCTCTACATACTGACCCATCATCGGACAAAGCCCTATTGACTCAAGCTATCTGAACATAATGTCTGTCCAGTCTTTGACTGACTACTCAGTATTACCCACTGCTTTGCTTCGGCTTCCCAAATCATCTCATGCAAGTTCTTTGGCCTAAAACCACAGAGAAGGTGATTCTGGGAAACATAGTTTCCAGTTTAAACTAAGTTGGCAATAATGAACCCTAAAACTGGAAACAACCCAGTGTCCATCAAAAGAAGAATGGGGCCCAGCCTGATGGTGCAGTCAATGGCTTAATGAACTGCAGTGCTGGAAGCCACATGACCGACTGTAGGTTCAGATACCTGTGCAAGCTTGAAAACATGGCTTGTGCACATGACCATGATATTGATGAGCTGGAGGGCCAGGGAAGGGGATAATGGCATGATGAGACCCTCTTGAGGACTATTTTCTCTCCCTCTTTCTCCCATGCATGTGTTCTCCATCATGAGTAAAACCTTAAAAAAGAGGAGTGAATTATAGTGAATTATACCAAAAAATGGGTGGGTGGGGATCTTATGGACATCGTGGAGGAGTCTCACAAACATTTTTGGATAATAGAAATCTGTCAGCCGAACAGGTTTCCTGAGTGAAGGAGTGAGAGCCGGGACAAGCGGCATAGTGTTACAGCACGGAGACGACAGTGTCGTCCGTTTATTGTGGGCAGCACGGTATAGCACAGAGACGACGCAGTGTCGCGTCGTCTACTGTGAGCAGCACGGAGACGACGCGGTGTCACAGCTCTTCAGGATCTTCAGGATCGTCTGGAGACTGCGCAGTGTTTCAGCTCTTCAGGCTCTTCAGTTGTCGTCTTCCTGGTTGTTGTTGTCTTCCTGGTCGTTGTCGTCGTCTCGGTCGTCTTCTCGGTCATCTGTGTCGTCTGGCTACTGTGGGCCAGGCATCGTGGTTATATACACTCTGGTGGGTTGTAAACGGTGGGTCGTGATTGGTTGTAAATGGTGGACTGTGATTGATTGTAAACGGTGGGCCCTGATTGGTTGTTAATGGTGGGTTATGATTGGTTGCTTTTGGACCAATCATGAGGTGCTGGATATGCAAATTTGAGGGATTCTAGTGGCCAATCAGAGCAAGGTTTCGAAGGTCAGGTTTTTGGAAGGGAACCAATCATGGTAATTGTTTGCTCTCTGAGAAACCTCTGCAGACTTGCTGGTGCGCAGCTTCCCACAGAAATCAAACACAATACAAACAGTATAATTACATTTATATTAAATTCAGAACAGGCAAAACAAATATATGATGATGAAAGTGAAAATAGTGATTACTGAACTGGTTTATTGGTGTAACAGTAATGTACTGCTCAAGTGATGCAGGATCCATTATGA